ATATATGTTGCTCCCCTTCTCCAGAAAAAGACTTGAGTCTAGATTATTTCAGAATAACAAATTCTTTAATACTATTTAATTCAGGCTGGACGGTTGGTTTGGGTTTTGAAATCCGGAGCTCTGAGTAAGAAAGAGGATGTTTTGCTTTCCCCAGGCATGGTCATGGCTTTCTGATGGTAATAGAAAGACAAACAGGTAATGAGAAGAAATAAGTGAAAGTAAAGAGGCACACAGAAAACAGAGAAGAAGGAGCTGAAGGGGGTACCTGGAGCATCCTCTCCTGCATATTTCATCTGCAGGCAACTAAAAGAGGGATTAAAATTCCAAAGGGGGAAAAATAGGGAAGAAAGAAAGAAACATGGTCTTATCCTTTTCAACCTCAGCAAATACAAAGGTAACCTGTTTTGCAAACACAGCTGTAGTTTGGAGATTGCTAATCACCAAATTTACACTTGAGAGATTTGCTTTGGTCACATTTGATTTCCTGGATCTATGTGTTTGAGAGAGTAATGGGAAAAGAACTGCCGAACTGCAAGAGAGGAGTTTTTAACACAATAATGGACTCAAGGTAGATACAATCCAAACAATTAAAACAAAATTTGATAGATATGATCCCCTTAAAAATCATATATTTACCTACCATTTAGCATTTGTTTAATAATTTTTAAAATTCCTATATTTTTATTATGCTTATTCTGATTCAGTGTTCTCATTATGTTTCTGAAAGTGGGAGAAGACAGGGCCAAGAAGTATTAGGCAGTAGACTGCATGTCGAAAAATGTTAATGATATTCAAAGATATTAACAGAAAATGCAAAAACTATTTGAACCTGGTTTTTCTACCGATTTTTAATAATCATGTTAGCATCAGTCTGCCTGTAACCACCATTAATTCTTTTATTTAGTGAAAAGAAAGAAGAACTGCAGTGATTTTTTTTTTTTTTTAAGAAAACTTGCTGGGTCAGAGGGAGATGTGGAACACAAGACCACCCATATGTTAAAAGTCATTTAAACAAAGCTCCATGAGAATCAAATTAAGTGTACTAAAGAGGAGGAAAAAAAAAAAAACCCTACAAAACACAAAGGTCTCTGTGTTCAGTGGTCTCTCACGCTCTTTAGCTCACCAGGGGACAGTAAATGCATTTCTTAAAGAGGTTCTATGTTTCCAGATGTTGAAGCTGGATTAAATGTGAATGCTCACTCCCATCCCTTCTCCACCCTGGGTCATTCTTTACTGGCCTCTCATAAGGCTCTTTCAGTGTGATTTTTTGCTGGACAAATGGTCTCATGTTGCTGGGAATGGGAAATGGATAACATGAACATACACTCATGTCTCTGCAGACTCTGGCTGATTTACACCCTGCTCCCCACCCTCACAGGCAAGGTAGTCTGCTGGCACCCACTGGCGCTGCAGGAGTGGGGTCCACTGTCAGCATTCCCACCATAAACTTCTGTTTTTAGAGGTTTATGACTTGGCCATAAATTGCTGCCTGGAGAATGGTGTATCTTACCATATTGTTTTAAGTTACAAGAGAGTGAGAGAAAAAAAAAGAAAAAGAAAAACCCATAAAAATAAAATGTCATTTCAGACACTATCTCGTGCTTCTGGAACCTTGAAAAGCCTGTAATTGTGCCGTCTCTGTGCCCAACTGGCATTCAAATTGATGCTTTGAAGTTCAGTATTTTAAATATAAAATGAAGATTCTCCTTTTACTTTGAAGAGATGGTAATCAAACAAGACTAGTGTATAGCTTGGAAGTAAAATAATAATGTGGGGTTTTCTTTCCAGTCAAAGTAATTTCAGGATCTCTGGTACATGAATGAAGGACCACATCTGGTGATGAGAAGTGACCAATGGTAACATTCAAAAGGAAGCCTGCTGAAAGAACGATTCAGGTTTTATCAATTGTGATAATCATAGATTCAACAGACACGTACAATAATTTACTAGACCCATTTATAGGCTAGCCGTTCTCCCAAATGAATAAACATATTCTTCTAATAATGTGGCACTGTGAATATTTAGAGGAAGAAAGTTATCAACCAGTACAAGTTGAGCTGATGCCACTGTAGTTTTCTCTAACATGCTAGTACTCCCTGGCTTAGAATTGGCTAATCATTGGCATCATATGTTGATGGTATTTGATATTCTGCCTTCTCTATTCATGTCCATGATTTTCTCTCCTTTTATTCTTCATTTTTCTATAGTCAAAACAAACAAACAAAAAGAAAAACTTAAAGAGAGTTAATTTAACCATCAATAATTTACTGAAGACCAGTTATATGTGAGAAACCACTCTAAGTCCTAGGAAAGATATAATGAAGAATAAAGCATGGTCTCTAGCCCCGAGGAATGGGACAGGAGACAGAGTCACGAGTGGAACATTCTGAGAAAGTGACTTGTGGTACGATAGAGCCATCAATAGGAAGCACTTCCATCAGCAGAACTGGTGACCACGGAGCAACAGCTCTCAAAGTCTGGGTCCCCTATCAGCAGTGGCAGCATCACCCAGAAACTTATTAGAAACTCAATAATTGGGTGGCACCCCACACCTACTGCATTGGAAACTCCAAGAGTGAGGCTCGGCAATCTGAGATTTTTTCAGACCTCCCATATGATCAAGACAATAGGTTCTAATGAGCTAAGGCAATGTTCCTCAAATTTCCACAAGCAGCACCACTACCTGAAGTATTTGTGAATACTGATTCCCCACTGTTGTCCACCCTATCACCAGGCTGATGCTTCAGGAGATCAGTGATGAAAAATTTTCTAAAAAGTCCTGAGATAATACTGAAACTGCTGATCTGAGAACTATCCTTGAAGAACTACTGTCCCAAGACATCTGCAAGGAAGTCAGTAACTTCTCTCACTTGCTAGGTACCATCCTGGAGACAATCGAGAAAAATCAAGACTTAAATCATCTTGTCTGGTTTGTGGTTCAGAGGTTAAGTTTTAGATGAGAAAGACTGAGTAAAAAAAGAAAAGGGGATCATATTTTAAAGGGCAGTAGCACTGTGTAAGGATTAGGTTGTGAAAAATCAACTTAGTTAAACAATAGTTTTGTTACAGAAAATGCAGAACAAATGTGGATGAAGTAGGAATTTGGGCAGATCTATCTACATATGGTAGAGCTAAAATTATTCTCTCACTTCATCAAGTTAGGTTAATCATATGAGATCTTGCTGCTCTGAATTTACAGGCGAAGATGCATGGTGAATGAAATACTCATTTTGTCAATTTCCTGACTTTTTACAAGAGAGAGAGGAGCAGACTCACATTTTCCTTTTCATTTCTACGGCCTAAGAAATCATTGGTGTGACTTGAACCTACGTTTTCCTTTTCAATCCACTTGCCACTTTCTGCAATTGGGAAATCCATGATTTGGAGCACAGAGTTCTAAGTTTCAGTAGAGGAATGTGACAGATAATTCATCTCCAAAGCTCCTTTCAGCTTCTCTATTCAGGAACTTGATAGAATGGTAATTATGAAATCCACCACCCACCTACCTGTCCATCCATCCATCCAACAATGAAAAAGGAAATCTGACTTAAAGAATCACATAGGCAATCCAGTGGGTGAAGACAAAATTAAACAGCAAATTCGTTGCAACTATGATAGATTTTTGAGAAAGATAAACAAGCAAAAATTTTATATGAGCTGTAACAAAAGCAACTAATGTTGTTTGCAGTCTGGGGTTGGAGGCCAATGAAGTACTCTTTGAATAAAAACGTTCAAGTGGATACCTAAGAGTTGAGATGTGAGTGAGGCCAGGCATGATGTGGAAAGGTTGCAAATGACATCACCCAGGCTGAATTGAAGCACTGTCATCAGGACCCTGACATAATCAGATTTTAATTTTTAAGGGCTCTCTGTGACTTCTATATGCAAAATACACTGGAAGAGAAAGAGGCTACTTGCAGAGCAGGGATAGAATATCAACTTAATATTTCCACCCTTCTTCCGTTCCTAAAGAAAAATAACTTTGTATGTTTTACTCTTTTCATGACATCATACACCATGATTTCTGCTTTGATCTCATGTCATATATTACTTGGCTCTGGAGTTTATAAGAACAAGCTTCACTTAAAGCAAAATCAAGTTGTACAACAAAGATTGGCATAAGAGAAGTAAATGCACATCTCTAGTAATTAGAGAAATGCAAATCAAAACTACTCTAAGATTTCATCTCACTGTAGTCAGAATGGCAGTTATCAAGAATACAAACAACAATGAATGTTGGCGAGGATGTGGGGGAAAAGATACACTTAGACATTGCTGGTGGGACTGCAAATTGGTGCACCCTTTAAGGAAAGCAAGCAGTATGAGGATTCCTTGGGAAATCTAGAATGGAACCACTGTTTGACCCAGCTATCTGATGACTCCTTGGTTTATATCCAAAGGACTTGAAATCAGCATACCACAATGATGCAGCCACATCAATGTTTATAGCAGCACAACTCACAATAGCTAAACTATGGAACCCACCTACATGCCTTTTAACAGATGAATGGATAAAGAAAATGTGTTATACATACAATATGGAATATTAATCTTGAAAAAGAATGAAATTATGGCATTTATCAGTAAAAGGATGGAGCTGGAGAATATCATGCTAAGCAAAATAAGACAACACAAAAAAAAATGAAAGAAAAGACCGAATGTTTTCTCTAATATGTGAATATTAATCCACAATTAAGTGTGCATTTGTGTTGGTTGGGGGGTTATGGAAGAATAGAAGTACTTTGGATTAGGCAGAGGGGAGTGAAGGGAGGGGAGGACATATGGGTGTATGGGAGAATGAAGGATGGTAGAATGAATTGGACATTAATACCATACATGCATATATGACATATATGACTGTACATCATGTACAACTAGATGAAAGAGAAATTATGCTCATTTATGTATGACATAATCAAAATGCATTCTACTGTCATGTATAACAAATTAGAACAAACTAAAAAAAGAGAGAAATAAATTTCTCAATCTTTGTGTTACAGTTTGAGTTGCACCACCCTCAAGTTCTAACACTCAGTATCTCAGAATGTGAATGTATCTGGAGACAGGACCTTTAAAGAGGAAATTCAGTTCAAATGAGGCCCCATTCTGTGTGTCTGTACCCTTAGAAGAAGAGGAGGGCAGGACACAGATATGTACAGAAGGAAGACCATATGCATATGGGGAAAAGACAGCCATTGGCAAATCAGAGTAGGCTTTTCAAGAAAGCAACCCTGAAGATATCTTGACCTCTGACATCCAACCTCCAGAATCATGAGAAAATAAAATTGCTATTTAAGCTATTCAGTCTGCAGTATTTTGTTATGACAGCCCAAGCAAACTATGATGCGTTGTACCCAAAAAAAGAGAAAAAAAAATCACAATGGATGTTAGAAAATGTATTCTCTTGGTGAATTTGAAATGCATTTATTTCTCAGCTGAAGTAAAGGAGAAACTGATTTATTAGAGAGTTTTGGGAGGGCAAGGCGATGGGGGAAGAACCAAAGGAATGTGCATGCTGTGTAAAACCAAACATAGCAGTCACTTGGTGAACTCCCACATTGCACTAGCCTCTGAGAGAAAGTTGTACACTATCCAAAAATGACTACACT